TGGCGTGACGTGGCGTGGCGTGACGTGGCATGGCGTGGCTTGGCGTGGCGTGACGTGGAGTGGCGTGTGGCCACGATCGCGCACCACGCAAATAGTTGAAAAGATGACCGCTGAGAAAACTCGATCGCAAATCGGACAAAGATTTCATGCAACCTTGTGCAATCCTATGCAATAACGCGCAACCAACTCGCGCAAACATACTTCTCGATTCGCTTGCTTTTGGCACGCGCTTACTCGCATTGCGACCATTATCGTGTGCTTTCATCAGCTGATTAACTGACCCACGGCACGATTACAGGAATCATATCGATCAATCGACGCGATTCGCGATATTTTATTTCTCTTTGTAAATTACCGGTTTAAAAATCTGATACGCTTACGTGCCATTTGACACGCGATCAACGATCGGTATCCAAGTCGGTTCATCAGACGGCGCCAACTTAAGCGCCGCCGCTGCCGCGGCGAGGCCTTGGAAGTCGGATCGTGCGCGTGTGCAAACGTAATCGCGCCAGATTTCATGACCGTGTTGAGTCGTGCGAACTCACAGACGAGATAGTATCGTTACAAAGATGCAAACGAGAGAAAGACCGCGATATTTATGCAATCTTGAACGCGATATTTATGCGAACCGACTTTTCATTGTACGAGTACGTTGCAAAAAGTGGAACGTTACCGCGTCGCGAAGACGCGCGAGAGAGTGCGAGAATACGAGAATCGCTGGCGATGCTGCAGGTGGAAGGGAACGCGCGGATGCGACGAGTGCTCCGCTTGACGGAGGGAAGGGCTGTCTCGCTGTGCTATTTTAATCGGCACGTTGTGGCCAGCCCAGATTCGACGCAACTGCCACAACGAGCGTACATCGCGCGTCGCACGTCGCACGTTATCAGCCGCGTGCTCGCTGGGCCTCACGGTTCGCCCCTTTGCCTCTTTGCCCTCTTGCCCCCTTGCCCCCTTCGCTCCCTTCGCTCCTCTCGTTCTCTTCCTTTCTCTTGCCGCTACTCGTATCCCACGGTTCACCGAGCTCCTGACGAAATCCCAAGCGCGCGTGTCACGAGTGTCGCGTTGAGTGGATCTCACAAATTCTGGATGATGTAAATTTTTCGATTCGAACGCGGAGTCAATTGCATGTCAACGAATTCAAAAGCCAAGTATCCAGATTGATAATTAACGCGCGTCGTGGATAAACCTTGCGAGGACGAAATTTGGAACTCGTTGGAAAAAAATACCTTCTATATTTTTCACGAAATGGATGATACGGAAGAATATGAATCGTAAACTTTAGTTGAGTCGCGAAAGAGTGCACATGTGCGTGATTTTAAGATGTGACTTTTGATGGTGATGCGATTTCGTCACGTTGCTATCAATTCTGACCGCGTGACAATAGGTGCGACATTGTTTACGCTTAGACCTTAATTATCTTAAACTGCTTTCTCGTGACCTCGGACTTGCAGACTTATCAAATGACTACAAGGTAAAGTTGTTGGACGAAATGCTTCGCAAGTTGAAATATTATTGCGTTACTGACGGTTTGTACTTTTGTACAAACGGAATTCTATTTACCTGATTTTTTGCCCGAAAATTCAATATTTAATTATTTTGTTTTCCATCTTTTCTGTTGTTTTTTTTCCGCTACGTAGGTTTCAAATAAATTGCGGAAATCTGTCTTTTCGCTCTTTCACGCGCGCAAGAGATACGCAGTTTTCTCGGTAGCGAAAGAATTTTGTTAGTTCAGCGGTCAGGAAAACTTATTTCTAATTGACGCGAAATTTTCTTTCAAAGAAACAGCCAAGCTTCAGTTATCGGTATTTCAAGTTTCGTGAGTATCGCACGATAAACGCGACATTGACGATACGTTAATTTATAGAATATATAGAATAAAGATTTACGCACCTCGGAGAATCGCTTAGTTTTCATTATCTTTCGAAATAAATTGAATTTGGCGCGACTGCGCCAATGATAATAGCGGCTTTGCGCGATACAGCAGTTTGTCGACGGATATTTAACAAGTATCAAAGCGAATCATCGCGAGGGATACCGCCCTAAGTAACAATGATGCAGCATTCGACGTTGACCACATCGCGTGAATATATTTTCGCGAGTATATCCTTTTTTTCGCGTTCTCGATATTCGTTACAATCAGCCTTATATTTTATACATGTTTCATTCGAGATTTTATAATTTATAATTCTCTTCGTTTTCCTCGCGCGACAAACGGAAATGACGTGCTTGTCGTAATTCGTCAATATCATTGACGACAATTATGCAATATCGCACTATGTTCTCTCGAGGTGTTATTAATTAATTATTCGCTGTTGATACATATTTCGCACATGTGTCTTTGCCATTGTCATCGACACGTGTTTTATCCACGTCGATTGATGTATTTTAATTATAATTATTAGTTTGGAACTACGTTACAATGTCATAAAATTGTCTCGCTCTTAAGACACTTATTCAATAGAGATTAGGAAAAATGTCAAAATTTTGAGTAATTTTGATAGAGACACATTTAATAGGGTCACAGATAATTTCTTATATCTTCTTATACCTCTCTCAGCCAGATATATCTGGCCTGACTCTTGACCCGCGCGATTTCTCTTGTCTCGTCTCACGTACGGAATACGTATGCCGTCGTATGCTGTCGTATATCGTACATCATATACCATATACCATATACCATATATGTACTGGATAGGATCATATGTATCATCTACGAGTATATCGCACCTCTTTGACGTTCAACTAGATAATATTAAAGGATAAAAATATTCAACGTATAAATACTCGACGTATTTATTTTCTCCCGCGGAAATTTCCATTATATGTTCTATCGATAGAAGCGTGAGTGAAGCGCGAACAATTTTTGTCGCCTTGTTCCTCGCACGTCGCTTCGGTTTGCGGTCTGCCGCCCGACAGCGTTCGCTACACGACGCAACTACACGCAAATAGAATTTTGTTTACTATCGCGAGAACCAATGCGTCGTCGATCTTGCGACAGAAATCTCTGGCGATTCTGATGACGACTACGAACAAACATCCGATTCTGTCGATTTTCTTAAAACGCAAAACAGACTCCTTCTACGACATTATAGCGATCTTGCATTTGCAATCTTGTCAAATGTAGGATAACGTTGTACAGAAATGTTGCAGAGAGAGACTCGGAAATTAGTAAAATTCCAAAATTTTATTTTTTATTTTTGAT